AGCGTGATAGAGCTGGAACTACACCAATGTCACTCGATTGTTCCGCCCACGTTTCTTAGAAAATCGAGGAACTAAATCGGTTTGTGTTGCAGAAAAAACCCCAACAACGAAACAAAACAAAACAAAATCTCGTGTGCGACAGCTGTCAAACTAGTTTGGAACAGTGCTTGCCTTGATCCAAATCAGTTCAAAATAGATCGAGAATTATACTGGTTTAGAAAAATTACATTTTAGAAGTAGTTTAAAACAAAATATAGACCACCAGTGCAAGGGCTCGGTCTGGGTCTGTTCCAAAATTTTAGACCAAACCAACCAATTGGATCGCCGCTAAAGATGCCCTTATGAAACGCACAAATTTTGGCTACTTTTCTCGAGGTTCTAGAAGGAAAAATCTCAAAATAATGTTTTATTTCAAAGTTCGAGTGGTAGGAAACGTCATTTTAAGTGCTCGAATGAAGTGGTTAATTGGCAATGAAACAGTTCAATTTCAGCGAAAGGTAAACAAATCGGGGAAACGAAGCTTTCTTACTGACCTAAACAAGCTATCGCGTGAATCTAAGGAAAACGGCGAACAATATCGGTTTATATGTCACAGTTTTTTTGAACTCGTTTCCGGAGGCTCTGTGGAAGAAATCGCTGGAAAAAAATTGGCAATATTACTCAAAATTTATTCATCGTGGTGTTGTTTTTTCCAGATGAGATCGTGATAAGTTTATGGTTTTCCACGATAAAATTAGCAAGCGGAGCACTATGCCCTCCAAGGTTGACAGACATACACTCTGGAACTGGGTGACGAAGGATGTAACAGTAATGTTGTATAAGTATTCTGATGCAGTGTCAACACTTAGTCGAAAGCCAATTGCTTCGCTCCCAGTCAACAGATCGATCAGGTGCAGAATCAATAGCGTCACACAATCGAGTGAAGGAACACCTTAAGGAACGACATGGAAAATATTATATTATATTATATTATATTATATTAATATTATATTATAGTTTTCATAAAAGTTGACGATACAAATACTAATGAGGAAAGGAATTCCGCATTTCCTTTTCCCAAGTCCTTTTCCTCTCCTTCCCTTCCCTTCTTCTCTTTTCAGAAAGCGAGTAATGGCGCTATAACCATATGCCATATAGGGCTAGGACAAGAGTTAGTGCTCAGGTCCCAACCGCTAGAAGAAAATGGTAGCGAGCAAGGGCGCTATAACCTAGGCGAATACAGCATTCCCTCCGTATAGGTTACGTCCGCACACCGCTCTCTGTTGTCCTTCGACTGAGGTCGGCTGGATCGATTGAGGGATGGCAGTGGGTTGGCGGTGCCGTCCACGCTTGTACGGAGGGAGGACTGTACGCTCGAACACAAGGGGTAAATACCTGTGTTCCATCCCAGGAGATCGGACAATCAAGGAGTGTACATTAACTTTCTTAGCTCTGTCACTCCCAACGATTTATATAGCCTATTTTCAAATCCTGCATACGGAGCGGTTGGTACGGTATGTCCCCGCTCTTTGATTACCTGTGGATTAAATGTTAACCACTGTCTATACTTATTAAGTAGACATGGTAAACATTCACTTCCACAAAAATTAACTTAACGCTACACAGTAGGCCTGGCCGCTTTATTGTTTGTTTCACATCCTTGATGTGCAGCAAGCATTAATAATGACAAGAAAAATGATAGATGTATCATTTTCCAGGATTCTTTCAAGTACTGGCTGTGTATGTGTAGACTAGACTAGACTAGACTAGATAAGTATTCTGATGCAGTGTCAACACTTAGTCGAAAGCCAATTGCTTCGCTCCCAGACAACAGATCGATCAGGTGCAGAATCAATAGCGGCACTCAATCGAGTGAAGGAACACCTTAAGGAACGACATGGAAGATATTTGATGGCTGATGATGTCAATTGGGGATGCTGGACGAATTGAATTTGCAGCAAGCCTCTGAACATGCGTGATGATTTGATGCGATAAACTTCACTGAAACGTAGTATTGAACTTTTCAGTACGGTACCTGTACACAGTGATGTTCTTTTGCAATAGGCCATATTAGATTTGCAAGTAGCGGTCGCAGTGAATAAAGCTTACGTGAAAGTTACTACAGGATCTCAATGATGACCATCGACAATTGTTGCATATAGCGTCTGTGATTGGGCAAAGAATCTCAATGCTTGAAGAAAAACAGACTGAATACGGGAACATACTTGCCTTTGCTTACCAATCAGGCTAAGGCCTTGTTATCCTCTGCTGTCCGAAGAAGTCGTCTTCACTCTACTCGATCTATTGCCTTACTTCGCCAAACTAGTAGTCTGCGAAGGGTCCCTTTTACTTGGTCACCTTGCCCACTGCGCACCTCTTTTTCTTTTTGGGTGTTGGGTCGCTTTCGAGCACCATTTTCACTGGGTCGTCGTGCGGCATTCTTACGATGCGCCCAACCCACAGTAGTCGCCCAATTTTTGCAATGTGTACGATTGATGGTTGTCCCAGCAGCTGGAGCAATTCGTGGTGCACTCCACCGTAGATGGTACGCAACACTTTCTGTTCGAAAACACCAAGGGCGCGCGTTGGTTTCTCACGAGCATAGTCCAGGTCTCTCCAAATACACGAACTCATCGACCACCTCGATTTCGTCACCGTCAATCTGAACTCGGGGTGGGAGGCTAACATTGACTTCCCTAGAACCTCTTCAGCCTGATGTACGTTTCCGCCATCGTCTCAAAGTTCCGTGCCATGATGTCAATGTCATCGGCGAAGCCAAGAAGCTGGATGGACTTCCTGAAGATCGTGCCACTCGTGTCTATTCCAGCTCTGAATAGCAGATACGAAAGTCCATCACCTTGTCGTAGCCCCCTTCGAGATTCAAAGGGACTCCAGAGTGTCCCCGATACTCGAACAACGCACATCTCTCGATTCATCGTCGCCTTGACCAATCGCGTCAGTTTATCCGGAAATCCGTACTCGTGCATAATCTGCCATAGATGAGCTCAATCGATTGTGTCGTATGCGGATTTGAAATCGATGAACAAATGATGTGTGGGCGCGTTGTATTCGCGGCATTTCTGCAGCACCTGCCGAATCGCGAAAATTTGGTCCGTGGTAGCGCGGGCACCCATGAATCCCGCCTGGTATTGCCCCACGAACTCTCTTGCAAATGGTGACAGCGGCGGCATAGAATTTGTGAAAGTACCTTGTAGGTGGCGCTCAGCAGTGTGATCGCACGGTAGTTGCAGCAATCCAACTTGTCGCCCTTTTTGTAGATTGGGCATACGACACCTTTCATCCATTCCTCCTATATATAAGCCCTATATTAAGCCTGCACCATTTTTGCAATAGCATTATTGCGGGGCAAGTACAAATTTCCAACCCGAAAAATTTCTAGACCGAACCGGGAATCAAACCCAGCCGCTGCCAGCATGGTCATCCTTTATAGCTGCACCTTTACCGACTGACCTAAGGGAGGCCCCTGATACGCACCGGTGCACGAATTGGGTATATAGACGTGAGAAGGGAGATTCCCTCTTCTCTTCATTTCTTCAATCAGAAGGGGAACAAATTCTACTATGGGATCAAAAACAAGTGCTTCGTATGCAAGATGGAGGGGCACCAGATGAACTCCTAACCCAAATGGAGGGCCCGGAAACAGCATGAAAAGGAAGATAAAAAATAGAACATCGAAAAGCAACAGGCATTGGCGTAGCTAGACAATTTATCTGGAGGGGCGGCCTAGATAATTCTGGAGGGGGCCTGCCTCCCTGGCACCCCCATTAGCTACGACAATGGCAACAGGGTGAAGAACAGAGCGATGGTTGTTGGATAAGCTTCCCATTAAGGAACGGAAGGAATGGGAGAAAGCAGAAACAAAAGGCAATTCGCTTCCCAGGAAGAAGAAGACCTTATATGTAGCAATGATGAATGACAGAAGGTTGAATATCAAGATCCAAGATTTCACGCTGAACAATTTTCATGACTTGAATGAATTTCTCTGCCGGTAATCGCAAGTCAGTCCCATCAGAGATGTGCTATTGAAAAAAGGTGGTTTGTTCAAGAAAATTGAAAAACAATACCAAGTCAAATTGTCCCACAGCGAAAAGCAACCGCAAGTCAGTCCCATTAGAAAAAAATATGTTAGAAATGTTAGACAACACATCGCATCATGAGATTCACTTCCCCTATGGTATCTGGAACCTGTCCGGATGTGGCCAATATAGTTCTTACGATACTCAGTTTGACCGCCAATCGATATGGCTTTGAATTATCATGTGATTTGATGTATCGCTTTATGGATTTTGATTTAAAACGGATTTACCACTTCCCCGGGGATACCCGGAACATGTCCGGGTGAGGCCAACATGGTGCTGGTCACTCATCATGACTCTTATTGATCTTATTCTTGAATTCTCATGTAAATTGATTTATCGCATGGTGGGTTTGGCACGTTTATGAAAAGCTCTTGTCTGATGAAGACCCATACTCACCGGAGTATGTTTCGGCCATTTCTCTGGAACCACCGGAGCAAATCCAGAAACATTCAATAACGTTCTATAGGACCATGGTATCTTTCTACTGTTCAATGCTGTGCTAAACTAATGCAGCATCGTCATGGAATTGTTACTGACTTGCGGTTATTTTTCTCATTCACGTTAAATGTAATCGCAAGTCAGCCCCACTCAGATTTTGGCCATGAAATTAAAATTTTACGATATTTTTCCAATATTTTTGGGTAAACATAGATACATTCTATCACATTGTACGTTTATTATTAAATTTATCCCTCCAACATAAGTGTCAAATCAGAAAACTTGAAAAATCTTTGAACGCCGTTTTCTCATTTCCAGTTTTTTACATATGGGACTGACTTGCGATTATGGGCAGTTCACGGATCTACTGAAATTCGGGGTAAATTAAAAAAAAAAGAATTAAAGTCTTCATTCCCAAATGAAACCCAGCTCAAGAATCGATTCAATTACTCAAATAAGTCTTTGAGCCTGCTCTGTACCTACCTCATGACGCTAAATTGCTGCTGCTTGTCGGTGCTCTGCTTGCTGCTGGTTTTGCTCGTCGAAGCCACCGACGAGGAGTCGGAATCGGACGACGAATCCGACCCATCGTCCGAATCCGACGAGGAGGTTGAAGAGGACGACGACGACAGCGGTGACTTGCCGGGTGGTTTCGATTCCACCGGCGGCGTGCTTTTCACCGTCGTCATGGCAGCCAAGGTCGACGGCTTTGTCGGCGGTTGCTCCGTTCACTTCTGCCTGTTTGTTCTGTTGCACTGACTGAGGGTGGCAACCCTCGCACCACTACTGGTAATTGGATTACCGATATTTAAATTGTCCTGAAAAAAAAACGACCGGAGGGAGAAAAGAAATTAGATTTTTCTTCTGAAATAAGGAGCTTACTAAAACAAAAAAGCGATGTGCAAAATTTGCAACCAAATGTAATTTATTGGCGGCAAATTGAAACAGAAAACCTGTGGTCCAGGGTAGAAGAGAAGGACGGAGAGAGAGGGAGAGTGCATTTGTAGCTGTTGCCGACGGCAGGAGAAAACGATACAAACAATAAAGCGAACCTAATAAAATCAGTGTCAACATTTCATTAGGGCGAAACTGCAATGACTTCAACCACCCATTCATCGCAAATAAAAGCTTTGAAAAAAAAACAATTTCGCCCTTTTGAAATGTTGGCACTGAATTGTATTTCATTTGCGTGGTTGGCATACACTTCTATCGTGTAGGTAAATTGCCGCATGTATGGAAAAGGTGCACTTTTATCGTCATGGCATCAAACAGCTGAATTTGCAGTTTTTGTGCGTTTGGAAGTTGGGTTCTCTGTTTGGAGCAAGGTTTTTTCGCTGATGGTTATTACATTTTTTACCGTTGATTTTACTTTGCACGGTGGAATCTCGTGAATAAGATGGGTTTAGTTTTGCATGATCGTTTTCGGTGTCCATTAGACTGATGCAAAATTTGAAATTTTCACTCCACAGTGTTCAATGGTAATGAATTCAACTGAATTGACTGGTCGAGTTGAAGTGTCATACTGATGAAAGTGATGTGAAATTTACGTAGTTTTTACGAATTCGCATTCGTGTGAAGTGAACATTTTCTTTGCTTATTCATAAGTTCAGTGAAACGACAAAAACAAATTTGTGGACAAATTCAGATCTCCAGCCCAGTCTACTTGAAGTTTAATATTAATAATGTAATCCTTATTTATCAAATCCAAAATTAAATTACAGAATCCGAAATCAGATTGTTTGAGCTCCTCAAATCTCAATCGACATCGACATTGACAAACGGAAGTTAAATCGATATTTGATGATGTCAATGCAGCAATAGTTAGTTTCCTGTTTCCATTATTTCATATAGAAAATAGTGACTATAAACTCATTGAACAGCAAGGAAAGCACAATGTTAATCAACAGCAACAACAAAAATCTGATTAATGAAAATGGAAATCTGTGAGATAGAGTGAATTGTAATCTAATAAAAAAATGAAACTAAATTTACGGACGAAATTATCCTCCTATCTATAATTGAACAACATCGAATATCACTGAACTGTTTTTCCTGGCCTGCCTAAACTTGAATGCATTGTTTATTATACATTTAATAAAAAAATGAACATTAACATGAAATCTGCCACCTTTTCACTTGAGTATTCCTTTAAAATCCAGTTACATACATTTACTTGAAAATTCCTGTAGCTTTTAAGTGAAACCTATTTCGATAAAATTAACGTGAAAATGACTTGATTTCTATACAAATCACATGGATCAGATTGTCATTCCCAAAACACTTAATTTTCACCTGAAAAGTACGATGGATAATATCTAGGTTCCTTTTCAGGTGAATGTTAAGTGGACCTTTACTGCAGTGTAGGTATAATCAGGGCTGGTAGCCATCACTGCTGTCAAAAATAGTGATTTTAGTGACCATGTTATATTTCTTTAAGTGACTAAATAGTGATTTATAGTTATAAAAATGGTGACTAAAAAGTGACCCTGAATTGAATTGAAAGTAATTTTTATTGAAAATTCTTAAGAATTTCTGAGGAGCACAACTCCTGTGAACTTCAAAGGAAAATTCCAAGGGTATTATGAGGATAATTTCATAAAGTTTGTGGGGGAAAACAAGTTCGGAGCATAAATCTTTGAATTTTATTTTTTTTAATACTAAAAGAAGGAGTACAATTAAATCTGAGAATAACTCCACGACATCTTCAAAGGAATTCGGAAAATAAATTCAGGAGAGTTTGCCAAACAAATTATGAGAAGAAATCTAAGGAATTTGTGAGTAGAAATGCCAATGAATTCTTAGAAGACTTTCAATGTGAGTAGAATTCCAAGGAAAGGAGTGAAACTCAAAAGGAAATCTGAAATGAATTCAATGAATATTCTGATAATCTTTTCAAAGGGTGTCTTATTGTGGATAATTTCAAGGTAATTCCGAGGAAAACTAAAAAAATTAAAGGGTTGTGTCCTAGACACGACCGCAATATGACGTAGAACCACGCAAAATTGATGTTTGCCATGCATTTTTGACTATTATACAAGAATCCCAAAAAAACTGTCTACGCAGTTAATGAACAGCCCTTAATTGTGGTTTGCTTAAAATGTATTGCCCGGAAAAAAGTGATCGTCAAAGTCCATGTCTTTTTCGGGTTGTTGTTGAGGGGGTGGAGAGGTTGTTATTAAGGGGGGGAGAGGTTGTTGTTAAGGGGGGGGGGGGGGTTTACATACATAATTTTCCAAGTCTCATTCCTCATTGTGGTGGTCATGTTCACGCCGTTATCCACCTTTAGCCGCTGACTTGGTCCTGCTTGCTGTAGGACCTAGTGCCACGCCGTCCGAGTCAGAGTCAGGAAAGCAGCGCTGTTTTATATCTTTTCAAGCAGAATGATGTGCAACCAAGTGGTATTCGTTTATGATGACTGGGTTTGGGGAAAACGTTTAGTTCATGAAAACAGTGATAACATTTTCATTTGCGCATTTTCAAAAGTTGTTTGATTAAAAATTGGACAAGTGTTTATTTCAGCAGATTCGTTAAGTAATATTCTATCGATTGGTGCATTTGGATTTTAATTACATCTATAAATGACAAAGTTACAAGCGTTCAAAACCTAACACTATTTCACTACACATATTTTTTAATTTGTACCCCAGTATAGTCGACAAAGACGTAGTTCTACGTCAAAAAAAAAATTGAGGTCGGAGGATAGTTTCATCGAAATTACCATTGAATATGGAATGGACTATTCTGAGAACTTCCCAAATTTGTCCTGCAGGTCAGCCTTGAAGTTTTTTTTTAGTTTGAGAAACTAGCCTGATGCTCTCAAAACTACTCATCAAATTCTTAAACTTCCCTTAACTTTATAGGACTTTCTAAAGTTTCCTTAATTTTTCTAACGATCATGAATCTCCTCTAAAGGTTTAACAATTCGCTGAAGTTCTCTAAACTTTTTTAAACTTTATGTGACTTCTCTAATGTTAAAGAAACTGTTCTCTCTGTTTTTTTTTTCAGAAATTCTCAAAACTGCTCTAACGTTTTTGCAGTTCTCATGAAGTTTGTTGTACTGCGCTGAATTTCATTGAACCGTCCTTAAAATGTTTAAGCTTCAGTGAACTTCTGAACTTATGCGAAGACCTCAATTAACCTTTTAACGTCTCTGAAGTTATCCGAAAAGCTTGGAACTGCTTTAAATTTCCCACTAATTTTCTGAAACTAATGGAACTGACCTCTCCCTGAAATTCGTCCAATTTTCGGAGCTTACTAAACTTCTTTTAAAATGCTCCCGTATTATGATAATGTTCATACAAATTCCTGAAGTTCGCGGATCTCCCCTTAAGCTCCGTAGATTTCTATAAAGTTCTCGAAATGTTTCTGAAGACCACTGTCCTTCTGTGAAGTTCCCGTAATTTTCATAGAATTATAACGAAATAATTAATATAGTTTTATGATTTTTCTGAAGTTCATAAAACTTCCATTAAATTATCGACACTAATTTAAAACTTCTTCAATAGTCTAGATTTTCCTGGTGTTATTAAAAGTACCTAAACGATTAATGAATTTCTTTAAAGTTCTTTGGACAGCCTTCAATTGATCAGTATATTTTAAGAACCCGCAACTTTACTGAAATTAATTGATTTGCCTTGAAGTTTCGACAATTTTCCTTAAATATTGTTTCCATTAAAAACGCTAACTTATTTTCCCTGAGCTATGCTTACCCAAAGTTCTCTAAATTTGTTTAATAATTCGGCAAATTTTCTGATATATTGTATATATATTTACAATTCCCGGACATTTTTGGATCAATCCTAGAATTCTTCGAATACCCCATAATACCACGGAATTCCTTGTAAGTCTCTGCAAATTTTCTCAAGTTAATGGAATTATTCTGAAGCTAAATACTCGGAACATCGCTGAATATCATGAAACTAACTAAATTCTCTGTTCTCTGTTCTCTGGAATTTCTTGAAGGTATTTATCACTGCTTGCTAAAAGCTCTCGCAGCTTTTTTTTAATTAATGGAACTTCGTTGATATTCTTTAATCAACTTAGCTAAACTTTCGCATTTTTAATGTTCTTGAAATCTCCATGATATAACACCCTTAACATACTCTAACGTTTTCCGGATGTTCATATAATTTTTATCACGTTCCAGAAGTTCTATCGGAGCTTTGCTGAAGTTTCCGGAACTTCTTTAAGGTTTCTAAAATTTTCTTGAAATTATTTGAAATGCCGTTTGATTCTCTGATCAGTCTTGGTGTTCTCAAAGCTTCCCTAAAGCTCTTAATTATATTGAAGAAAATTTCCACGAAAATTCTTTGGACTTCTGTGAAGTTCCTGAAATATTTCTGAAGTTTTCATAAATTCTTTGATGGTCACAGTACTTCCCTGAAATTCACGGAACATCTTAAGGGTACTCAATTTTTCTTAATTTTTTTTTTTTTTTTTTTTTTTTTTTTTTTCAATCAGTTCAAGTCAGAGGAATCGCTGTTTCATTGCTTGTTGCAAAAGCGTGCGAAATTAATTGTCCATTTTGCTTATGGGAAATCAGTCAAGGTACGCATGTTGCCTGCGGGAGGCACTGTTCAATACGCGAGAGTGTACGATCTTCCACCAGAAGTCCCGGATTGCGATCTATCGTTGATGCTAGGGAAATACGATGATGTCAAGTATGCTATCTTGAGCCTCGACATGTACACAGGTGTACGAGGCGTTTATATGGATTTAAAAAATTAGATTTACCACTCGCTACATTTCCTCAATCGGAAGGGGAACATATTCTACCGAGGGAACGAAAACATGTATTTCCTTTGTAAGATGGAGGGGC